AGTAATAATAGAATAGAGTAATAGTAGAGTAGAGTAGAGTAGAGTAATAATAGAATAGAGTAATAGTAGAGTAGAGTAGAGTAGAGTAATAATAGAATAGAGTAATAGTAGAGTAGAGTAGAGTAGAATATTGGCCAAGTGTGATTGGACACACAACGAATTTGTCTTTGGTCCAGATGCTCTCAGTATATATAAAAAGATACATTCTGTAGAGTAGAGTAGAGTAATAATAGAGTAGAGTAATAATAGAGTAGAGTAATAATAGAGTAGAGTAGAGTAGAATATTGGCCAAGTGTGATTGGACACACAAGGAATTTGTCCTTGGTCCAGATGCTCTCAGTATATATAAAAAGATACATTCTGTAGAGTAGAGTAGAGTAATAATAGAGTAGAGTAATAATAGAGTAGAGTAATAGTAGAGTAGAGTAGAATATTGGCCAAGTGTGATTGGACACACAAGGAATTTGTCCTTGGTCCAGATGCTCTCAGTATATATAAAAAGATACATTCTGTAGAGTAGAGTAGAGTAGAGTAGAGTAGAGTAGAGTAGAGTAGAGTAGAGTAATAATAGAGTAGAGTAATGTTGTATGTAAGCCTTTTTATAGTCAAAAGCTCAACAAATGTTTGAGTGCCTGTTGATAGAAGGAAGTTTACATTGCCATTTCCTAAACTTTATGAAATTAAAATGGCTTTTCTAATGGCAGTACAAATTTGGACACTGATTTGTCTATAAAGCAACATTAAAAAAAAACCTTAATAGCAATAGCACTTAGACTTATATACCGCTTAACAGTGCTTTGCATCTCTCTCTAAGCGGTTTACATAGTCAGCATATTGCCCCCCAACTATCTGGGTCTTCATGTTATTGACCTTGGAAATATGAAAGGCTGAGGCAACCTGGAGCTTCTGAGAATTGAACTGCTGAATTGCTGGTAGCCAGCAGTCAGCAGAATTAGCCTGCAGTACTGCATTCTAACCACTGTGCCATCACGGCTCCTATACTGTTATTTGGAAGGATTTCCCCCCCTGTAACTGTGGGGAAACTGTAAGGAAGAAAAACTACTATAAAAGAGGAAAATGGAGGAAGAAAAAAATCTCAACCTATCCAGGTTTTTATATATTCTTAGTAATATATAATTAGATTATAATTCATCATTTTTCTTGTAGATGTTGGTGAGATATATTCCCGACTTCTGGACCACCGACCAGTTATCCAAGGAGAAATTCGTTATTTCATCAAAGAATTTGAAGTATGTTAGATATTGTTTTGAAATGAAATATGATGGATTTGTGGGAGAAGGTGGTTTTGAATTAAAAAGCAAGGCTGCACGAGATTATGTAAACTATAGAGAATGACATTTCATTTTTTTTAAATGTGAAATATGCAAAAAAAATGCTTTTTAAATATTAAATGCCCTTGGAAGGCATTTAAATATTTAATTCCCAAATTCAAACGTACTATTGAACATAATTGCCACAAGATGGCAGCAAAACTTTAATAAGAATAATGTATATGAAATTCTGGTAGCTTTCTATCTGTTAGGGTAATTTTCTTTCAAGAGTGGATGAAATAAAATAATTGTAAAAATGATTATTGCTTAAACATGTGATGTTTAAATGAAGAATAATGGGGATGTATTAACATGTAATGTGTGGAAATATTAATTATGCAGTTACTGCATAAGCATATTTAATCAGTAGTAAATTCCTCTGGGTGCTGCTGAGTTATTTCCAAGTAGTTATTAGTCAACAGGAGTCTTAAGAATTAAAAATCTAGATATTTTAATCTGTTTCACAATAAAAGTGTGTACATGTCTGATTAACTATAAATATCACTGAGTCCAATGAATTTTACTTTCCAGTAAAGGCGCATAGAATTCTTTTTTAAGTGGAACTGGATTTGATGTTAATAAAATGTCAGCTTTTTTGTAGAATATTTTGAATTATCCCTTTCTTTTTTTTCCCAAACAGGAAAAAAGGGGTCTCCGAGAATTGCGGGTTCTTGAAAACTTAAACAACACAGTATTTGAGGCAAATGACAAGATTTTGCCAAAATGTGAAGAAGTAATGCATGGAAATCTAAATGAAATATTAAAGAGATGTAAGGGGAAATTTATTTTCTTTTGTGTTTAAAGAACACTGTCAAAATGTATAGATTCTCAAAACATCAGTGAGCTCACCCACCCTTTGGAAATTGGAAAAAAAATACATTTCCGTAGAGAGAATTTGTTGACTTGCTGTGTAATAGCAATAGCAGTTAGACTTATATACCGCTTCATAGGGCTTTCAGCCCTCCCTAAGCAGTTTACAGAGTCAGCATATCGCCCCCACAGTCTAGGTCCTCATTTCACCCACCTCGGAAGGATGGAAGGCTGAGTCAACCTTGAGCCGGTGAGATTAGAACCGCTGAACTGCAGATAACAGTCAGCTGAAGTGGCCTGCAGTACTGACTAACTTGGGTTTAAGGACTTGAGCCAGGGCAAGGCCTCCAATGGAAACACAGACTAACTTTGCGCTGAATTGAGGAAAAGCTTTCCTGGTGGCGCTTCACTTCCCAAAAAAAATGGACTTCTTTTAGTTGTTAAGTGAATGCAGCAGTTGCTAAGTGAGTAACATAGTTATGAAGTGAATCGGAGTTCCCCATTGACTTTGCTAGTTAGAAAGTTGTAAG